CCCCCCAGGCCCACCCGCCCCGCCCCAGACCCCCCAGGCCCACCCGCCCCGCCCCAGACCCTCCAGGCCCACCCGCCCCGCCCCTGATCCTCCAGGCCCGAGCGCGGGGCGCCTGCTCGCGTCCCTGCGGCCCAGGTCCCGGTGTCCGGGCCCGGGAGGCGCTCGCGGGCGGGGTCCCCGCGTCTGAGCGCCGGCGTGACGGGGTGCGGGAACGAACGGGCTGCAGGGGAGGGGCCGGCTGGTGCACGGCTGCAGGGGGCCTGCGCCACCAGCGGGGCACGGCAGGTCTCGGTTGGTTCAGTGAACGCAAGGTGCAGCGGCGCCCGTGAGGCCTGTCACCTGGCTGCCTGACCAGTCCATCCGTGCTGGCGGTGTGCCAGGCGGTGTAACCCAGGTGTAAATACATAGGCCCAGTCTGGGTGCGGAGAGGACAGATTGCAGGGGTGGGGGGCAGAGGGGGCAGGGAGCGCAGGAGGGGGTGCCTGCGCCACCGTATGTCATCGTTGACGGGCCAAACGGTCACCGTGGATGTCAGAGAAGCGGTTGAATTTTGGCCCCGGGTTCGAGAAGGGCCAAGGCAAATTTGGGGTGTTGCAGGAGACAGGAGAAAGGGAGGGGTCCCGGAATGCCTGGGGGCTTTGGTCCTTTGAAGTCTAATCTGCCAGTTATTTGACGGGCAAAACTGAGTTTCTCTGAGAACGAAAGAGCACCACAGTCTGGAACAAGCAAGCTGAGGCTCAACAGTAGGCCAGTCTGGAGGACACGAGAGAGGTAGGCTTTTTTAAAGGGGGAGGGGCTAAATTGGGAAGGCTGTTAAAATCTACAAGTCCCTGAGAGTAAACTGGGAATTGAAAGTATAGTGGCTTCCCATTGGCTGAGCTGTGGGTGGGGTGGTCCCGAAAGCCTGCCTTTTCCCCTCTGGGCTAGTAGAGGAGGTAGTTTCCCAGTCCCCAAGTTCAAGTGTGTCGTCCTGTCGGGTCTGCACTGATCATGGCGGTAGTGCGTGAGAGCTCCCCCAGCTGCGTTCTCCCGACTCCCTTCTAGTGAGGTTTCCCGTTATTAATTTTCAGCGGTCCTAGCAGCGGAAGGGGTGGACGGTCCCATCAGCTGGACGGAAGGTGGCAGTAGGTTGATTGTCCTTGGAGATCTCCCAAGTTGCTTGGACGTCGTTAAGTCTTAGATGTTCAGAGAGGCGTGGGTGACGTCATCCAGTGGGCAGCGGGACAGGAAAACCCGGGAAACCGGGGCAGGTTTCAGGATGGAAACTTTGAAAAGTGACGGCAGTTGTGTGGCCCCGGCGGAGGTTTGGATCACATTGAGGAGGGGGTGCAGACTAGGGGGCAATGCTATTAGTAGGTCGGAGGGCCTTAGTGAGGTGTGCTGAAGAGTGGTCCCCTGGCTCAGCGCCTGGTTGGGGCTGCTGGGCAGTGCGGGCACAGGCGAAGGAGAGAGAAAGATGTGGCAGATGGATGGGTGGGTAAGGCTTCCATGGCATGATGGGACAAGAGATGGCTGAGGACACCTAGGAGTAATTGCGGCAAGGTGACAGGGAGTCTGGGGCTGCCCTTTATTCAGTGGTGTAGGGCTTCAGCAGAACTTTGTGGTGCGCTTTTCTGGTGTCCGGGCCGTTTCACAGTCTTGCTGATGGATAAGGTGTGGGGCCAGTGTGGTCACTTGTGCGTCTCTGTGCCTGGCAGGGAGACCTTTAGGGCTGGGCTTTTCACAAAGGTTCAGTGCAGAGTGGAGGGTTGTGACTGTTGGAGGGACAGCATGGGCAGCACAGAAGTATTAGAGGGACTGGGAGTATCTGAAACGGCCACGTGGCTGTGGGTGTGTGTCCCTGAAGCCAGGCTCCCCGGCAGGCGAGGGGGACTTCTCGGCCGCATTTGAGGCTTTCCCTCTGGTGGGATCCATGAGAGTGCTGGGGTTGTAGTGGAACCTGTTTGGATTTGTCACACATCCTTTGGGTGTCATGTGACAGGTACCAGTGTGAGTCAAGGGGGCATCCTTTGGTGTGGGGCAGGAAGCTGTGGGGGCGCAACTGTGGGGTCTGAAGGTGTGAGGGAGATGCAGACTACAGGGTCATGTTCACTTGGAGAGAGGGAGTGTGAGTGTGAGTGTGAGCTTACGGTCTCAGGGCCCTGGGATTGGAGACTGACTGGTCGAGGTCGGTCCATAATTGTCTGTGTTTGAGGGCACATTTGGGGAGACTCCACGGGAATTTCCAGGCCGAAAGGATGGCGCTTGGGGGGCCAAACCCAGATCGGCCCCCGCAGATTGCATGTATGCACCCCCTCCCTGTTATTGCTGAGGACCGAGCACAGTGATTGATGGGATGGTGAGGAGACGGTGGCATGAATGACACCAGGACCTGGTATTTATTCTGAGGTAGGAGCTGGGGTGGCTGGGGAGAATGGGGTGTATGTGTCAGGGTTTAGATTGTGGGTTCCCCGAGGGAGAATGTTCATGGTGCCATCTGTCCGTTTCATGACAGGGTGGTGTGACCTTTGAGGACATTGCCATCTACTTCTCCTGGAAGGAATGGAGACTTCTTGATGAGGCTCAGAGACGGCTGTACTATGATGTGATGCTGGAGAACTTTACACTTATATCCTCCCTGGGTAAGGCCCTCA